ATTTAAAACAGGTTGAATAAAGAGGTACAATAAGAATAGTGTTTAGTGAGTGGTAGGAGACTTAGAAATATGACTGGCAGAGGCGTACCCAGGATTTTTTTATGGGGGGGGGGTCCAAAGTTTTATTTTATCTGTTCTCTAATTATAATTATAGTTTAATTCATTACCAAAATATTACTGTTAATAACTATAATATAGTTACAATAGTCAATAGTTATACACACACTCACAGTACATATACAGAAAGGTTTATAACAATAGGTAGGTACTATAATTTGTAAATGTAAATGTAGATATCTCAATGGGGGGGGGGGGGGGGGTCAGGACCCGAAACCCCCCTTGGGTACGCCCCTGATGACTGGTAATCTCTAAACAATAATAAATATATTTGGGGACGAGGTGGCCGAGCGGTCGAACACATCGTCTGCGGCGCTGGCGGTCGCGGGTTCGATTCTCTCGACCACTGGGCGGCATTTTTCTCCGGGCAAGTCACGGTGTCCGGAGAACAAGTGCCGTCATCCCCCACTCCGGGGCATGGCAGAAACCTACGGGTGCCCCAATAGAAATTCTGCCAAACACAACACACACGTGTAATAACCCTACAATTTCAAACCCTACTACCTACAATCATAAACCCTACAATCAAGCTAATGGCCATAGTCGCCGGGCTTTAAAAAGATCAATTAAAAAAAAAAAAAAAAAAAAAATAATAAATATAATAATAATAGTAATACATAGTTATAATATTAGGAGTTTAGGACAGTGTGGAATTTTAAATAAGAATCGGGGGGATATCATCCTAATAATTTAAAACTTCTGTATTTTTACTCCTCTTGGACTTACAATGGCATGTGAAAAATATAATAATCTCTCGGCACCAGCATCCTAATTCGCCTTTCCAGCGGCTGAAACACACTAAAATTCAAAGCTATAGTAAGCCAAAAATGTGCGAATGCCGAGGGTTGCGACAAAGTTAAAAATTAAAAATTAAAATCTATTCAACGTTAAATTTGATACTTGTTTATTTACATTGAAATATGTTTTATCGATTTATAAATAATGAAAAATGTTATAATACAAGAGTAGTGCAGTTTTCGCTGTACACCGACCTATGTAAATTACCGGCGTTCGCGTGTTCTCGTTTGCGATGTGGATTAGGCCTACAGGGTTACCACAATAAAAAAAAAAAAACGATCTACGCGTTTAAACAACATGGACGATATTTATAATGTTTAATATAATCATTAATATTTATAATGATATTTATAATGTCGTTTAACAAGTATAGGTGGTGTGGAAACTTACGTGACGCTGTAGTCATCCTATAGGTACATCGAGTACATTTAAGTAATATAGGTAACACAAATACTCTGCACGAAGAAAGTACCGCATCGATAGTGGTGTCATCTCTCGTTGTAGATTCTGCTGGATTGTTTATCAGATAAAAATATCGAACGTGTCCATAAGGAAAGTTTTTAATGTCTCCGATTTCGTATCATTTCGTATATTGTTGTTAAAGTCACCAACAAATTGTTATAATCTATAAATTATAATAATTATAAATGCATACCTAATTAGGCTGTTTCAAATTCTCACGTTATATCGTTTTCTATTACCTAGTGTATACCTACAAAACGCGACGCACAAAAAAATGTAATTACGGCAAAGGTAATGCACTGTGCAGGGATTTATGCGACAGTCAGATTATTCTACGCGTCATGCAAGGAGATTATAATATGTATATAGGATGTAACCAAAAGTTTATGTTTTGGAAGGACCGCGGTATGGATTTCGGCGTCTGGTTAGGTACGGAATACGCGTGATATATACGCGCCCAGAACATTTGGGGATTTCCACTTTTTCGCCCGGCACTATGGGGATTCCCACTTTACGGCCCGCTGGACGGAAAAAGGTCTCTTTCCAACGCTTCGACCGCGGTCGAAAACCAAACTTTGGGTGCAGGCGTGACAATATACTATTTTGTCACTCCTCTGCTTTCAAATTGATAGCGCCATTACGGAAAAGGTAATTCAGGCTGGGATCTATGCAACATCCAGACTACCTATTCTAAGAAAACAATAGGTGATTCATGAGAGAAACGACTTGGTTTTATTTATTTTAAGCTTCATGCATGGAGGCCATAATATGAATATAAGATGTAACCAAAAGTTTTTTAAGGACCGTGGATTTCAGTATAAACAATCGTTATTATTAGGGCTAGGAAAATGAAGCACTAAAAACCTATACAATAAAGGAATTAAAAAATTGCCAAAAATGCTACAAAAAAAAGCATTTAACCAGGAAAATGCAACTAAAAAAGACTTTAAACATTTTTAAGTTTAGCTGAAAAATATTTTTAACAACTAAGTACAATTTATAAATATTGAAAAAAAAAAATTAAAAACTGTTTTATTATATTTTAGGTACCTGTTTATTAAATAAATATTAAAAAAGACTATAAGATATTTTAAATTTCTTTGATATTTTGTAATATTTTGAAAACAATTTTTCCGATAAGGCGATAATATTTCACTACGAATTCACAAAATATATATAATTATACAATTAAAATAAATGAAAAAATAATAATTTAGATAAATATGTACGTAAATGTTAAAAAATATGCGTATAATTAACAAAAACCAATTAAAAAGCTAATAAACTGACAAAAAAGTACCAATAAAGCATTTATTTACGAATATCACAAGGAAAAGCAAAAAAAGCAAAAACAAAATTGCATATTTGAACTCTGTGATGAATGAATCCAATTTTGTTTTTGATTAGCTATGTCCTGGAGTACTATAAAAGAAAATGCAAATGCTACAAAATCCTAGCCCTAGTTATTATATTAAAATAAAATAAGAATAAGAAATTGTAATCAAGGCAAAGGTAATGCATTATGCGGGGATCTATGCATCGACCAAGTTATTATACGAAAACAATTATTAATGAAAGAAAAATATTTACGCGTCATTATATGCAAGGAGCAGGTTATAATATGAATATAAAATTTAACCAAAAGTTTATGTTTTATAAGGACCGTAGTATAGATTTTAGTGACTGTTTGTGCAGAGGATAATAAGTAATAACGTCATATCATAAGTAACCAGTGATATCTGACCTCAGTACTTTTGGGGATTTCCATTTTACCGCCCAGTACTTTTGGGGATTCCCACTTTACCGCCCGCTGGACGGAAATAAGGTCACTTTCCAACGCTTCAACCGTAACAACCCATTTTCAACAAAATAGTTCATTGTGTGGCAACTGGCAAGGGCGGGAAGTGAGCAATTTTAGTCGCGGGCGACGCGCGACGTGTGCAGCACGAGGGCCGCATTTCGCTCAAGACTAAAATGGCCTTCCAGCGCGAGCCACACATTCTATATTTTTTCACGCCTATAACGATATGTGAGCCCGGCACTTTTGGGGATTTCCACTTTACCACCCGGCACTTTTTGGAATTTCCACTTTACCACCCGGCACTTTTTGGAATTTCCACTTTACCGACCGGCACTATTAGGGATTCCTACTTAACCGCCCGCTTGACGGAAAAAGGACGCTTTCGAACGCTTCAACCGCTATCGAATACCAAACTTTCGGTGCAGGTGAGACAAAAAATATATTAGGTACCTACGTACGATTCAATACTTATATTATAGTAAATATTATATTATATACTTATTACATAGGTATATATTTTATTAATTATAATAATTATAAATGCATAATATGCGTAGTGTAGTCACAGAATCTGTGGTGTAGTGATGAGGGTATTATCAATAAACACAAGATATTTATAGTCAATCACTACGTCACTACAACCATTGTTCTATGCTACAACTTACCGCTCCCGTTTTTTTTTCCATCCTACCAATCGATCTAATAATGCGATATTTCAGAAAACTGATCTGAATTCGTTAGAATGTCTATTTGAGATTGGTCTGTCCACATTTTAAGATTTCTGATTTAAATTCCGAATAATCAACGTTTGAAATTTCAAAATATTCAAGCTAAATTTTTAGATTTTTGGGTGGTAAAATAGGTAAAAGTAGACCGACCAACCTCGAGTAAATACAATAACGAATCCAAATCTGTTTTAAAAAGTATTATGGCATTACTATATCGATCAGTATGATGGAATAAAAATTGGATGTATTGGTTAAAATAACTCTTTAATATATTATAAATTATAGTATTTCGTCAGGAACGTTTTTTTTCCGGCTAGCCCCAAATCGTGCCATTAAAAAATTCGTTTCAAAAAAATTCTGTCTATATATATACATTTTAGTTACAGAAACAACTACTTACGGACAACCTTGTATTAAATTTTTAATCTTTAGCTATTTAAAGTGAATATTTTATACATTTTTATCTACAAAATCATTTTAAAATTTAAAATGTAATAAATGTTTTAAAAAATCAAACACTTATAAAAAAAAAATGTTGCTTATGTATTTTGAATATTTTTTAACTACTATTATAACAATACAAGCCTTGTATTCAATTTTCACTCTTCTTAACCCAACAAATAAAATTTTATTGACATTTATAGAAAAAAAAAACTAAAAAAAATTGAAAATGTCCGTAAACAGTTCGAAAATTATTAAAATATTTTGAAAATTTTATTGAGTACTTATAGGAATTGATAAAACAAACATAATATGATAAAAATTTCAAGTTTCTACTGTTATTCGTTTTCGAATTACAACACAATAAAAAAATCGCTACATGAGAAATCAAGTGAATATCCGTTAAACTTATATTGAGTGATCGATTATAGCCACTGCGCTGCGCTGAGCCACACAATAATTTATTAGTTATTTAAAAAACAAAACTAAAATTATAAAACAATTTTACATATTTTGTTTCTTTATTTAATACAAGAATTTCTTTAGTTATTCTTTAAATGTATATAAACAAAAATAATTTGTAGTGCAAAAAAAATACATACATTTGTAGAAACATAGAATTGAAAAGTATTATAATACTTACTATGAGAAAATCAATTGCTTGGAATAATGGTTGCCATAACTGATAAAATCTGAAAAATAAATACTTAATTATATTTTTGAACATATCTATTAGGTAAACAATAAATAAATCCTACATAGTAAATATTTGTATTAATAATGTATTAATTTAAAAGAAATATACTTTTGATTGTATTAAAATAATACAATAGATAGTTAATTATTACTAGGGTTCGGATTTGAAGGCAAATGCCTTTCTTTTATTAATCATAATAGAAAAATAATTTTTATACAAAAATGTGTTTCATTTAATTTCTTAGAGAATGGATCTTTTTTTTTTTTGCCTTTTTTTGTCTTTTTACTTATAAATGCCTTTTTTTTTACCTTTTGTTTATTTTGAATTAAATTAACTGGTATAACTCAAGTAAGTTAATATTTAAAATTGTTTTTAACTAATTCTTAGGACAAACCTGGTTAAAGAAAAAGGTTCCTAATCTATTTATACAAAATAGCATAAACTTAATGTAGTTTAGTATTCATGCTCATTTTTAATTTGTATTTTTCTCAAAATGTGTGCATTTAAAATTGTTTGAAAAATGTTCACTATTTTATTTTGTAGTATATTTATGAATTGCCTTTTTATATAAATTAAATGCCTTTTTTTGCCTTTTTTTACATTTTAAATGCTTTTTTTATTGATTATATTGCCTTCAAATCCGAACCCTAATTATTACCAGTGGCAAATAATGACTCCGAAGTATGGGCAAGATTATTTATCATTTAGTATTATATATAGTAATACACATTTATCCCAAGATTAATTAACATTAAAAATAGGTTTTACTTTCAATTTATTAATTAATTACAATTTAGTTAATATTTATAATAAGACCTTAATTCAATACCTTAACAATTTTAATCGAGAGTTAGTATGCGATACAGTTGAACATAAATTATACAAATTATTGACAAAATGCAAACTGAATGAGCATCCCCTGAGTGGTTAGTACCGCAGCTGCTAGCAGATCGGGTTTCGGAATAGCTGGTATTTTAAAGTGATAACAGGCGTTGTATACTTGTGCACACAACTATCGTATTCTCCGTCAGTAAAATTACTATAAAATCATAATAGATGACATTTTTGTCATACCTACATTAAATTTTTCTTTTAAATACATAATCTATTATGCCAGTAGAATTCATCACTAATCATAATTACAATCATTTGTTGTATACAACTTTTCATTAACTCTATCTCTATACATTTTAGAATATTCAATAAACAATAATGGCGATTTGTAATTATATTTATGTGTATAAAAATGAACTCACTATCTAACACTATCTTATAAGAATGATCTTCCTTAGTATTAAATTGTAACGTTGAAAAATAAACGCCTAATATTAAGTTACAACTATCTTTGGCTAACCAAATGTATTACTTCTATAACTATTATTATTTATTTTTACATTTCATCTAGACACAATAATGTTATGTACTAGTCTTGTTACAATTATAAACAAAAAACGATAAAGTACAGTAGAACAATAAAATGTAGTTAATTATAAAAGTTATTATAAATATAAATTACTTACTTTAGTTATAGTATTAAAAGTAACATTAACATGTTTTTGATTAATTGTATATGGTAAAAAAATATCCAACTCATATTTTGTTTGTTTATTTGTAGTTAACAGTAGACAGTCTTCACCACATTTTAAATCAATTTCTTGTGAACTATGCTGTAGAAAAAATAAAATAAAAATTCAAAGCTACAACATTAGATGTTATATTTTTATGAAATTACCACATCTGGCATCCAAACATCTAAAATGATATTTTTTGGATTATCTTCTGGTTGCACATAAATCCTATACTCAGGTTTGACATGTATGTCTAACTGAGAAAGTGATGTTTTTGAATTTAGTTCTTGAATCAAAGGTTTTTTTTTAAATGTTGATGGCCTTGGGGGTCGTTGTTGAATTCTGTGTTGCTGCAATGATCCCATACATTTTCTATTCTTCAACAAAATTGGATCTACAACATAACATAAAAACAACCATATTAGATAAGTACAATATTATCACTTAAGGTAACATTGTTCCTTGCTAAAAATAAAAGTAATGCTGTATATAATTTTGTAATTAATTAGTAATTATACTACAAAATAATTACAACAATAAATTAGTATACACAGAAGACTTGAATAAGTTTTCAAACTGAATGATTGGTTATGCAAACAATGACTCTTATAATACTTCATACGTTTTTAAGAATAAAAATAGCGAATAAGAGAGCCCTCATACAATGGTAAGCAATAAAGATATTAGATAATTAAAGGTAATAAATACTTTCTGCGCTTATATCGATTTTGAACTTTTCAGCTACTCCCTCTATAGTAGCACAAACAATGAATGTTTGAAAGACATCATCATTTTGACACTTTTTGAAAAACTCTGAATTTACTGCTACATCGTAAACATTAACTTGTGCATTAGCTATAACATAAAAATTAACAACATTCAATACATTTAGAATGAAACATCATACTTTCTAATTATGAAAAAATATGTTGTTGGTCTACACTCTACACCTATGCGTTATAATTTTAATATTAAATGTATCTGCTGTACCTGCTGTATTTTTTTTTTAAATTAAAATATATAAATAATATTAAAACATTGCGGAAACAATATGTTTACTATTAATTTTTAATTAAATAAATAGAACTTAATTAAATTATACAGCAAAGGTACCTACAATAAATGAAATAAATAAAATGAGCAAAAAATAAAACTTTATCTATAGATTTTCCTCGAGATTTTCTATTCTTTAATGAATGATTGTAATAATATTCCAATAAAAGATACAAATTATTAATAAGTGTTTAATTTTTTGACTGAAAATATTATGTTGTGTATTTAAGTATATTATATTTTCAAAGTTTAGTTACCTATAGTTATAGAAATTACATTTTTAGACTTACACTTATCAGTTTCTTGGTGTTCTATACCAATACTTAACGGAATACAGAACTTTTCAGGATCCTTAGAATTGAAAACTTCTACAAGTTCTTCTTTTGTAATATCATCTGGAGGTGGAATATCTGCATGGTGGCAGAGGTTTATGAACACTTTTGACTTATCGGTTTTCAATAATTTTATACAGAGTCCTGTAGGTAATTATACAAGATTTAAAAATATTCAATCAAACTTTTAAATAAATGTAAGTAGGTTGTAGGTACCTACTTTTTAAAAACCAAGTAGTAAAAGATAATTAAAGTCATACCTGGAGCTGGTTTGACCAATTTGCCTGAATTGGGATTAAGGAAACCACTCACAAATTGTTCGAATTCTTGTTCCTCGTTGCTCTGAAAAAAATAATTTTCGCATTGCCCGTTAGTATTCGTTTTAAATGACAAGTAGATGTACAAATATATCGCATATGTATGTACTTGAATTAAAAGGCTTTTTTCAATAATCGACTCGTCGACATCTAAAAAATTTTTGGACGACATAATAATATTAATATTGCTTCATTCAAGTAATGAGAAGAATAATTAAACTGAAATTACAAAGCACGAATAGTCGAATAGGATTTCGACAAACGCATCAAATGTCGAAATGTACGGAAACTTCACTGAAGATCGAAGAATAAAAATAATAATATTTGATATTTACGATGTGCGTGAAGTATGCAAATATGCTACTCCGGCAATAATTGATAATAGAATTTCTTTTAAACCATTCCTTATCATTCATATCATTTTTCGGACAACTGCCAGCCGTTAGTATCAAGGCGTATTGATATCAATAATAATACCTAATATAGAGTAAAATAATTTTTTATTACTGGAAATTCCCTATGTAGAGATCACGGTAATCGGAAAAAAATACCAAGGAAAAAAAGAACACGGAAAAAAAGGACAATTTACAATTTTTGAAAACTTCATTTAAAACCGAGAATAATCATTTTAGTTATTTTGTTCACTAAAATAATAGAATAAACGTATAAAAATGTCTACATAGGTCACTGTGATCTCTGCATAGGGAATTTCCATAAGAGTGCGCACGGGGCGAGCCGGTCAAGCCCAGGCTCGACCTGAAACTTTTTAGGGGCATAGTAAAATGTGCGTATATATTTAAATATTTTATTATAATGCTTATATTATAATAATATGTTCGTGGAGATCATGGAAATTTTGTTTGTCGTGAAAGTATAAAAAAATCAAAAATATTTGTGTGTACCTACCTAACCTAACCAATTCATACATTTTATTAATCTAAAAAAAAACATTATACCTTTATAGGTACAAATACAATAACTATAGTACTATAGACATTAATAGGTTAATATATTATCAACATGTATGTTGGTGTGTTAAAAAAAAATTAGGGGCGCAGTCCAAATATTAGGGCACTATAATTGTCTAGGCTCGACCAGAAATTTAAGTCTGCGCACGCCTATGGGAATTTCCAGTAATAAAAATTTATTTTACTCTAAATTATACCACAAATTATATTGTGTATTTAATAAAATATTTACTTTATATTTTACCACTAGTTATATTTTATGATAAAGGGTGAAAAGGTCACTGTGATCTCTGAATCCCGGAAAAAAAGACCAAGGAAAAAAAAACCACGGAAAAAAAGACCAAGGAAAAAAGACCAAGGAAAAAAGACCAACAGAAAAAAAGAACACGGAAAAAAAGTACAATTTACAATTTTTGAAAACTACATTTAAAACCGAGAATAATCATTTTAGTTATTTTGTTGTAATTTTATAATTAATATGTACATTATAATATATTTTTTGGATATTATACACAATTTAAATTTAATAAAAGGAGAAATTACCTTCATTACAAATTTACATAATATTATTTATACGACCATCATGTAAACAGTATACACACAGAAAATTGCCTATATTGAACGCCTTAAAAATACGAATCTTCATCTCTATATTATTATATTAAATACAATATAACTTGTGGTATAATAATATAGAGTAAAATAAATTTTTATTACTGGAAATTCCCTATGTAGAGATCACAGTGACCTGTTCACACTTTATCATAAAATATAACTAGTGGTAAAATATAAAGTAAATATTTTATTAAATACAATATAATTTGTATTATGCAGGCGCGTAGCCAGGGGGGGTGTTACAGGTGTAGTAACACCCCCCCCCCCTCAACCGTGGTGTACTATGTTTTATAATTTAAACCTGGACACGGGCACACGGAATTAGATAATTATTATTTTAGACCATTCTGTGTCAGTTTATCGTTGACTCGTTTCATATACGATACAAGATATCTTTTAATGCAGAGTATTTACAACTTGTTTACAACTTCATCATTAGAGTGTTACTCTATGGTATCAACTATCATTGGGGATTACAATTTCAATACCTCGACTAGCTATAAACCGAACAAATCGTTTTAGAATTTCAACAGAATCACCGGAAGTCTATTTTAGGATTTTGATTTTTGTACCTTTTTTGGATCATTTCTGTGAGCAACTAAATGACAGATTTTTGAACCATAAATCACTATTAAAACAATTTACTTGTTTAATAAATGCAAATGAAAAAATGATACCGAATTTAAAGAACTTCTTAAGACATATTCTTCAGATATTGAAGCTGATGAAATATCTGCAATTGGTGAGTTTGCAATATGGTATGAACATATAAAAAATAAAAATCCAAAAAATCCTAAAAATGTTACCGAAGCCTTCTTTGACAGCAACGAAGACATATTTCCTACTGTTTATCGACTTTTACAAGTATTGATTACTTTACCTGTAACAACTGCAAGCAGTGAAACGTCTTTTTCCTCATTAAGACGCTTGAAAACATATCTAAAGTGTGACACGAATTTACCGCGCGGTAGTTTTAACGCGGTAGCTACCGCGCGGTGCAACCGCGATAGTGTGACGCGACCCTTTATTGATAATAATATTATATAAGAGAACTATTATTCTAAACTATTATCTATTCACGGGTAAGGGCCGGGCCACACATAGCGGTTGAACCGCAGCGGTTGAACCGCGACATGTTGCGGTCGATTTTTCGACCGCGGCAGTTTCCGCGGCTGAAGTTTCCGCGGCTTTAAGCCCGATTCACACTGTTACGGCACGGCACGGACCGTCACAGCACGTAACGGCACGAAAAAATATTACATTATTAGTTTATATGAGGTAATTCACATTGATACAGACGACACCGCACCGTCACGTTACAGCACGGACCGGACCGACCGACCATCATCCGAAAGAATGTTTTGACGGTCCGTATCGTGCCGGTCCGTGTCGGTACGTTCAGTGCCGGTGCAGTGTGAACACAGAACCGGCAGACACCGTAGAAAAAATAATAAAAAATATTAAAATTTTTTTTTATTTATATAACTACCTAATTAAGTTTATTAGAAATTAAATTTTTAAACAAAATAAAAAAATCGATTTTGGTATTGCGTATTCCAGTTGTTCATTAATTATTTTTTGTTTTCCCAATTATTAAGAAAGGTATTGTTCATTATTTAGTTTCGACCACATACCAAATAGATTTATATTCCCACCAGAAAATATTTTTAAGTTGAGGATTGAAGCACTTTTTTCTGATATAAAAAGCGTCATCAGTTACAAAAAAAAAACACTTCACTGTAAAATAAATACATTTATCACTCAGCTTAGAATCTAAAAGGTTTTAATGTAGGTAACAAATGAACAAAAACAAAAAAAATCTTTTAACTTTGTAAATTTATTTAAACATAAGTGATAATTTAAAATCAGGTACCTATAGCATAGCTAATTCAAAAAAATAAAAACAGGTAAAATCATTTTCAAATTACACAAAGTTATTATAGTAAATAAAGTATTGTAGAAATAATTTGAAACTGAATATAAAGAATATTTTGATTTAATAAAATATATCAAAACTAAAAAAATTGTCTTTTTGTCAACTTAAATACTAGCAAACTTAATACATACCTACTAAAAAAAATTAATTAAGATAATGGAAATATGAAATAATAATACTATTTAGGTTATAATTAGGTATAACCTTATACGTCATTTTCTTTTAAATAATTTAAATTAATTTTTCCACCTTAAATATTTTCATTGGGAATTCATTTTTATTAATATTTAGATTTTTTTCTTTTAATTAAAAATAAATAATATAACTGCAAAATAACTCAAAATTGTAAGAAAATAATAAAGAAAAGTTACATACTAATCTAATCACTAGATTTTGGGTAGTAATAATTATTACCATTTGTAGGATAATCGAACATATTAAACTGACTTGGACTTGCACTGTTGGTGATATTTGAATGATCAGGATTTTCTGTGTGATTTTTGGTTTGTGGTCGAGGGTGTTGAAAACTTGGCAAATGATTTAATTGAAGTAAGGTAGGAACGGTGGTATACCGTCAATAGATAGTGGTCAATTGATAGTGCGACAATAGATAGTGGACAGTCTTGTAAAGTATTTGAGTAAAAGTATTTGAGTAAATGTATTTAAATACTTTTATTGTATTTAGAATACTTTTTAAATACTTTTTGAATAAAGTATTTGGAAAGTATTTTAAATACTGTTTTGGACGTATTTGTATTTGAAAATCAAATACTTTTATTTAAATACTTTATCGATTTTTTTTCAATAATAAATGATTATTTATTATCTTTTTTCTCAGAAATCAAAGTAATATCATGACTAAATAATAATATAGTCATGAGTAATATCATTGAAATTTAGTAAGTTTATTCCCGACATAGCCTCCTAAAATGCAAAATATTATTGTTTTTTTTTTCATTGAAGCCTATATTAGTTTATTGTGATGTGAATTATTTGAAACTCCAAACTATAAACATAAAACAATAATGAAGCGAAACTCGATCAGCTGATTAGGTTTACGACTTTACGTTTACCTATGATCTATGAAGTCTGAACCTAAAACGAGCCCATAAATCAACATGATGTTAGATCCATGAACGACGTGCGAAAAGACGAAACTGTCGGAGAAACCGAAAAAAATCGGCAAAAAAGTCCGTCCGGGAGCGTATTTTGCGATCGACATTGCGACGGCTACGGACGGCGCACGGATATATAAATTATAAACTGCCCACCGGCGGCTTCGAGAGATCGCGAGCTACGCGAATCGAGTATTAAAAAAGGGCGAAAAACGATAGAAAACGGTCGAAATAGTGTGAATAATTAAATAGTATACATACGTAATATATACATTAACAAAAATATTTTCACTACAGAAATATAGCATTTATATATAAATTATTTTTTCCAGAAGCTAGGTTTGTTGTGGAGATAAAGGTTCTTATAATATCTATTTAGTTCTCATACAATAAATAATTAAAACGATCATTCGGTGATTATTAACTTATCATACAATTATAGTTACCTTGGTTACTACCAGAATATGGAACATGCATTATAATATATGAACTATTAAGTATTAACTATATAATAATAATTAATATGTACAGTTTGAAT